ATATATATATATATATATATATATATATATATATATTTGTGTCAAGTTTTGTTTCTTGAAATCTTTGCTTTCCTTCGAACATTTTTTTTTCCAGTGATCGGTGTTGCTAATGATCTATTTATGCTACTGAAAAAGTTACATGTGGATTACATTTAGCATGTATATGTATTTTTTTGTTTGTTGTTTTCTCAATAACATTTTTAGGATGATAACCAAGAGCTATAATTCCATGCACCCCAAATATACAGGACAGTACAACTTGCCATGATATCTAAAAATGTTAGGATGGAGAATAAATATGACCAACTAGGATTTTTGGATGGAGAATAAATATAATCAACTAGTCAAATAAATATATCTGTTTAGTCAATCAGCGTGTTTCACAGAATGGTCAGTACAACAGAATTGGTAGAATTAGCTATTCCATTTATGTTGTTGTTACTTGTCCAGTTAGCGACAAAAGAATAATTTTTACTATTTTTTTCTCTCAATCCAAACAAGAACATAAAGAGCAGCTACCTCGCCGATCAAGAGTTTCGGAGGAGATCTTTAGCCCATTACTTGCAAATCTCTCTAGGTTTCTAGTTGGGATGGTCTAGTTTGTTTAAGTTCTATGTATTAAATTCCTTTGTGCCATGGTACAAGTTTCTGTCACAGATGATTATTCTGTATAATGATTTTGCAGGGTGTTCTGGATGGGAAATACGATGACTTACCCGAACAGTCGTTTTACATGGTTGGAGGTATCGAGGAAGTCATCGCCAAGGCCGAGAAGATTGCAAAGGAGTCAGCGTCATGATAGAAATTTCTCTCCTCATTCAGAAACTGGAGCGATATAGCCTATGGGACCACCTGCGATGAAGAAAAATTGCATTTCCGTAGACAGCTTTTTCTTTGTTTTAATGCTGGCCGGATTTTTTATCTTCTTCTGAGAGAGCCAAAAATGAACTCTCAGATCTTCTTGGCACGATGATAAGTATATGCAGCGACTCGTTTCTTTCTTGCATGAGACATTTGCACTCCAAACTGTATCCAAATGTGTATTTTGTACCAGTCACTGAACCATGTAGTTTGTTTCTCTAGTGGTTCTTACCTTCTGGTTTAATATGTTTCTTTTACCAGTTGCATAATTTTCTTGATTAATGAATTACATGGAGTGAATTAATATTTCTTTAGAACTCCCTTTCTTGCGATTCACTGCATCTTAATAATTAGGACATCTCATAGGTCAATTTTATCTCTCTAGTTTGCACATTTTGATGTTTTGAGTTGTTCGAGTTGGCTTTAGCTTGAATTTTATTTAGTTGCAGTCCATAGATTCGACGAAAGGAATTTTAATTTCTTTTACGGAAATCACCTTAGAATTATTATAAACTCCAAAAAAGTCTTTCCGATAATTTGACATTTCGTTGACCGTGGACTTCGGCCGCAAACGTTGGGTGGCCATGTCACCCATCAAACCTCTGTGGGGTGATTCATCCTTTCTGAACGGTGGATGGTGAGAAGCCAGATCACCCCCTAAACTTTTCTAGGGTGATTCATCCTTTCTCAATGGTGGAATGAATCATGTATTTTATGGATCTATAAATGTTGGCCACGTCAACCATGTCGACTTGATCGTTTTGACCGTTCTACGTAGCAACGTAACCCAAATGAGGCATAACCGCGTGCAAGAGGCCCATCACTGATTCGCGGCCTTCACTGGGCCCATTAAGCTCATCACGATGGTTCATCCGAATGCGTCTCAACCCTGATGCAAGCGATCGCCGCAACCGCCTACAGAAACCTACGCCGAGGGTAAACCGCGTTAATAGCAAACCAACAGGGCGGATGGCATACGCTGACGTGCCCTAATCCTTCAGGGAAAGGGCTTCGGTACCCCCCCCCTCCTATAAATCTGCCCAATCCTCGCCTCTCTTACCGTCCATTCCTCCGAGCTCAGATCGTCGATCTGGCCGTCGATCGCATCCGAGGTGAGATGAGTCCCTTCTCTGCTCCGTCTATCGCCCTGTTTTGCTTCTTTCCTTCTTGTCGGCTTCGACGTTCGATCTTGAGTTGGAAATATCTGATTCAGCTGGATCCGATTGTCCTCTGTGTTCCTCTTGTTGCCTATTTATTTGTTGTTTTTTTGTTATGGGTGAGATTGGATGATCTAATGATTGATCGACCGTGTCGATTATTGTGATAGTCTGTTTTTCGAGTTTCTTGAATCTTGATGTGTTTGGATTGTTTTGATTTTGCGTTGTTTACATGGAAAGAGATATAACTGAGATTTCGATTCATGGCTGGATTAGAGCTGGGTTCTTTCTTTTATGGTTGTTATGGTTATTTGATGTTGATATATATGGGAGATGGAAACTGATGTATGGTTGGATCGACATATTGCCATTGTTTAATATTTAATGCGTATATGATTCAGTATAGTGAAGTTTATGTTTCTAGATTATAAATCTCTTAGGCCTGGCTAATCTTTGGTTATGTTTGAATGTGTATAATATGACGTGTCCTGTCAATATCTGTGGTAACAGGTGCTTTGAACGAGGGCGGGATTTGACAAATTTATTCCTTTGATAGCTGCTAAATTCATTGGTCTAATTTCAGTAGCTCAACTTGATGCGTTGGATATATTTTGGTTTGTGATTCCACATGATTATGTTTTGGTCTGCGATTGCTTCATTGTCATAGAATTTCCAATGTTTGTCCCTTTTTTTCTGTAACTGTACTAATCAAACTCTAGAAAGTGGTAATAAAACTCAAATGGGCACACTTCTTGTCTATATCTATAGTTGGTGATAAGCAAAAAGTTATTTCGTTCAGGCAACAAGGTTCTTTAGGTTGTTTGTATTATGAAAGATGTTTTATCACAATGAATCTGATGTGTAAACTGCTTTATCATTCATGGAGGATGGCTAATGATTTCCATGAGCTAATGCTGGAGAGATGTAGTAAGTAGACATCAATTATCAACAAGCGCTTGGATTTTGTAGCCTCATCTGCTCTAGAAGATTAAAGATGAAGGTTAATGGTGGAGTCGCAAAAGCAGTTAACTGGAGTCGTAGGTCTCTAAAATAGTGGTAAACATCATGAGCCGTGTTTCTCAGGTAACTGATTGGCATGATCTGTTTTGAGCTACCTCAAATTCAAACTGTGGAAGGACTTCTCATTCTAGACCTACCATTCACCTATCTCCTGTACTGCATTGGCCTATAGCCGAGCACCATAGTGTTAAACTGGAGTTTTCTATATTAACTGACAGCAAATTCTATTCCAGGAAGTTTTGATTATGGTTGTGGCATATATGCACTGGATATTATTTTACCTAGTTTGAAAGTTTGTCGCTGAATATCTTCTAAGTTCAGTGTACATGATTTTGGAAGTTCATTACAGACGGTGGATATTTTTCATTGGATATATGATTTCAGACTTTCCATTGTTTAAACAAAGCAGATGGGGGTAAGTAGGATATGGCAATTTACATGGGTACACTGGATAATTTTCATTAGTTATATGATTACAGACTTGTCCTTTCCCTCTTCTTGTGTTGCAGGCATTCATTTTGTTCTATTTGCATCTGAATTTAATTACCAATGTGGCTGACCTTGCTTTCTTTGTTAGGTTTTCATGTTTTCCATTTGCTTTGTGGATGAATTTTTTCAACAAAAGATGTTATATCATTTCAAATGCCAATGGCTTCTCCAGTAATCAGGCAATCGACAGAATTACACATCTGCGGTCAAATTTGTTAGATGTTGGGCCATGATGTATTTAATGGGATCACAAAGTTCTAGAAGGAATTGTGCAGCTAATAACCCAATTATACTGTTAATGAGATTTTACCTACTTTGGCACTTTGTGAATACAATCAAGCTGTTTTCAGCTAGGCATGACACACTCACTCAAAAACTAGAACCAAATGAACATTGTAGTATTCTTGGTCTCATATTTTGGATTCTGTTCGACTCTGTTTTGCTTATAAATTGGTGCACTGCATATGACACATTTACATTTTGTTTGTTAGATCTGTTAAGTGTTTCCTTTTTTTCTCACTGAATGATAGTTGGTCAACAATGATTTAGGAAGTCAAAAGCCATAACTAATACCATTGCACATTGCCAAAGTCGAGGGGGTGAACATTGAAGCTTCTTTTATGTCTGAGCAAGTCTCTCTCTTTTTGGTATTAATCGGATTGCTTGGAGAATATTCTCCGACCGCTAGAAGGGAAAGGCTCTTTTGGGGGAGTTTTAGCTGCATGCATTACAGGTCACATCAGCATTCCGCACCACTTTTGGGTTGCTACTGCACGCAACCTCTTCTGATCACGGGGGACTTTGCTGGTGTTTGTAAAGGAAAGGACAGCATTGCCACTATCAGTTCTTGCTACCTTTGACAGACCTTATTTGTCTTACCAAAGAATCAGCTTAGTGAATATGGCTTTGCAGAATATTGGTGCTTCAAACAGCGATGATGCCTTTTATAGGTACAAGATGCCTAAGATGATAACAAAAATTGAAGGTCGTGGCAATGGCATCAAGACTAACATTGTGAACATGGTTGATATTGCTAAAGCACTGGCTAGGCCTGCTTCTTATACAACAAAATATTTTGGATGTGAGTTGGGGGCACAGTCTAAATTTGATGATAAGACAGGGGTTTCTTTGGTTAATGGGGCCCATGATACTGCTAAGCTTGCTGGTCTGCTTGAGAATTTTATTAAGAAGTATGTGCAATGCTATGGTTGTGGCAACCCTGAGACAGAGATTATTATCACCAAGACCCAGATGTTAACCCTAAAATGTGCAGCCTGTGGATTTGTGTCTGACGTTGATATGAGGGACAAGCTGACCACCTTTATTCTGAAGAACCCACCTGAGCAGAAGAAGGGAGCAAAGGAGAAGAAGGGAATGAGGAGGGCTGAAAAGGAGAGGATGAAAGAAGGCGACACTGCTGATGAGGAACAGAAGAAGCTGAAGAAGGAAGCAAAGAAGAAAGGAGTCACCTCTACCAAGGAAGTAACCTCTTCAAAGGCTACCGCTGCTAAGAAGAAAGCTGGAGGTGGCTCTGATGAGGATTGTTCAGCTTCCCCTCTTGGCAGTCGAAATGTTGCTGCCAATGCTGCTGCTGATGATGACGATGTCCAGTGGCAGACAGATACCTCATTGGAGGCAGCTCAACAGCGTATCCAGGAACAGCTGAGTTCTGTGACAGCTGAGATGGTAATGCTCTCAACCAGTGAGTCCATCCCAGAGAAGAAAACAGAAAAAGTAAACAAGGGAGTTACCAATGGCAGTGTGAAACACGAGGAGAAAAATGGTGCAGGCCAAAATGCTGTCCTACCCAACAGTTATGACACATTGCTAGGGAAGATCAGAAACAATTTGAACAAGGGATCTACCCCCAGCCAGCTCCAGACTTTTCTGGGTTCTCTGACTGCATCTCGTCCGGAGGTTATGGCTGCTCTCTTTGAAGCTCTCTTTGAGGGAGTGGGGAAAGGGTTTTCCAAGGAGGTTGGGAAGAAAAAGAAGTACATTGCTGCTGCTGTCCATGGTGAAGACTCCCAGGTGCTTCTGCTCCATGCTATCGAAGCCTATTGTGGCAAGTGTAGCCCAGAAGCTGTGAAAGAAGTTGCCCTTGTTGTGAAAGTACTTTACGATGATGACATCCTGGAAGAAGAGACCATAATTAAGTGGTATGAAGAAGGTACTGCAGGTGGCAAGAACTCTCAGGTATTCAAAAATGTGAAGCCCTTTGTGGAGTGGCTTCAGAGTGCAGAGTCTGAATCCGATGAAGAGTGACAACATGCATTTTTCATTTGCGTTTGCTGTGGCTGTCATCATAGCAAGTCATATAAGTCTGAATGTTTCAGAGTCGTATGTGAAGGGCTCATCTACCAAGCCCTCGTCGGTTTGAGTTGGTCTGTGTGATGGTCATATCGTCGCTGTGCAATAAGCTTGATTGGTGTCCAAGCAGCGGAAAACAACTTTGTTGTAATAAGTTTGGTTCAGTCATTTGGATTCTTTTATCGTTGAATGTGCTCATGCTGGTTTTTCACTTTTTAATTCTTCAATTACAACTCTATTTTATGCAAAATTTGACCTTATTTGTTGAAATAAGTTTGGTTCAGTCCTTTGGATTCATTCTTTTATCCTTGAATGTGCTCATGCTTTTTAGTTCTTATTTTATCCCATTTTCCTTCCTTACTCTTTATATATATATAAACAAAAAATATGTAAAATTTATCCTTATTAGTTGGAATTACCTTTTTTAGAATTGAATTTTAGTATTTTTTTATTTATCTTATCCTATTTTCATTACTAACTGTTTTTTTTTAAAAAAAAAAATTATTTTATGCAAAATTTGTCCTTATTAGTTGGAATTACTTTATTAGAAGTGTGAGAAGTTTGAAACTATGTTAGGAAAGATGCAGGTGGGTTGATAAGGTTGCTGCCTTCTCGTGTGGCTTTTGCTATATGCTGTTGTTGTAGTAGATTCCAAGGTGTTATTTATATATGTGCTCCTTAACTCATGAATGCAGATTCTGCCTTTTCAACAGTCCCTAGTTATTTTTATACTGATCAAAGGAAGGATTATCCCTACCAAAGTTTCATATAATGAAATCATCTAATCTTATTATGTTTTTCTGGTGAACTGTGCACATCTATCCGTTCTATATTGGTTACCACTGAAAGCATGGTTCTACCCAGCCATGAATGATAGATACATCATCATCACCACTTACTAGTAGCATTCTAATCACTATATATTTTCTAGCTACCAACAACGACCACAACCGCTCACCCAACTTTTTTTTTCTTTCCGTCTTGGTTGTGCTTCAATCATTCACCAGCACTTGCATGCACACATCTAAACTTTCCTTTACTTCGACTCCATCATAAGCTTGATCATAGTGTCCGACAAGTCCCTCTCGATCAAGTAGATGATTGCCTATAAATCTTTTTTTTTTTTACAATCAATTTAATTACAAAATTTCCAATTGACTACAGACAACCAACTACTAGTGGATTTTTATGTTCTATACTACGTTGCGAGTCGAAATTATATTTAGATTTTGTTAGACATCAGTCGGTTTAGAATTATGAGCTATGAAGTTTCCATCTCCTCCATTTTTTTCCTTATTACCACTTGCTTTTGTGTGCGACTCGATTTTATTTATTGCACTTGCAAAATTGATCTGATTGCTATCTTTAAGATTCGCATCACAATCTTAATAAACGGTAAGAGTTTTTTTCATTCTTTATACATGTCTGTATGTATATATGGACAAAGCTAAGCATTATTCTGGTCATTTACCACATGTACAGCCCAATCGCGTCGGTCCAAAAAGAATTCTCGGTATCGGCTTCTAAACATCCCCCCTTCACCCCGTGAAGACTTCCCCATTTGAGATCGAACGGAAGAACTATTAAACCCGCCCCCCTCTCTCTCTCTCTCTCTCGCGAGGAGATCCTTCATGGAATCTCCTTTTCCTGTACTTTCCACCCCGTTTGTTCATTAAGAGGGTGGATCTCGGCGGTCTCCGTGTCGGTGATTTCTCTTCTGCTCCTTCTTCGATTCTTTTCTGGGTGTTCGATGCCTCCTCCTGGGCGAAGGCTTTTCCTCGCCCTCGCCCTCGCCCTCGCCCTCCTCTTCCTCCTCGTCCCGGGCCTCGACGCCCTGCGAACTCTTGGCGACGGCAGCGGCGCCGATGTCCCCGACGCCGCCGTGGAGCTCAACGCCTCCAACTTCGATAGCGTCCTCAAGGAGTCCCCGCTCAAGTTCGCCGTCGTCGAGTTCTTCGCCAGCTGGTACGGACTTCGCTCTAGTTTCCTATCGGAAAGTTGACCTTTGTGCGAGGATCGGGTTGACAAAGATTTGTCGTTTCCGGTTTCTCTGCGAGTTGCGTGCTGGGGATTCTTGATCGGTGTGGTTATTGGATGAGAGAGGGCTCACTTAAATCTCTACCCCCTTTGGTGGATTTCTACTCTTGTTGTCTGGATCATAGGAATTTTGGTTTGTTGAGCAGCTCCAAATCGAATAATACTGGAAAAGAATGAAACTTTGTCATAGATCATGATGCGATTGTCACAACTAAGTCGATGAAGATGATGAAATTTCAGGCGAGTTATTGGTTTGCTCCGAAACGAGGGGACAGGTTGGCAGGTGTTGTCTATAGAGGCTTATGATAAGGTCAATAGGATGGTTTCCTATGGTTGTTCGTGAAGTGGATATTAACGTTTTGGACACTTATAAGGGTCATGCTAACATAGATGTAAGGCCTTTTGCGTTTGCCAGTAGCTAAAAGATCATATTGTGAGAAGCACCTTTCATTATAAAGGTTTGCTACTTGGAACTTTATCATTTTGGTTTCTCTAGAATTTCCTTTTCTTAAGTAAACACTGATCAAGCGAACAAAAGCTACGCAAACATGTGCCCTTGCCATCTTTAGATAGCCACTTCTCTTCCCTCCCTCCTACCCAACCCACCTAAAAGGGATGAAATTAAGAAATAACGAGAGCACAAAGTGAAACACACTTATACGTCCATTTTTTTGGTAGGTCATCTCGAGTTTTCAAATATCGGTTAGACTGTTATGTGCAAACGGGTACTTAATATTCTAATCAAGGACTGATATCCAACCATATAGCTTGAAAATGCTTAATATTCATTTTATATTATTTTATTCGGCGATACCAGCTGTTATAGGTCAGTCAGTATGTTTCTGTTTGTAGAAGCATATGCAACTAAAGAAAAACAAGTCTTTCAATAAAAAAAATGTTGATCCTGGTTTGTCTCTAGCCCAGTGATCTTTAAACTCTCAAGAAATTGGGAACTGATCCCAGTCAGTTGATTCCCAACTGTCTTTCTCCAGTCGGATCTGAATCCGATCAGATAAGCATTAAACTCTCACCGCAGGTGTTTGTGATTATCTTATGTGAGAATGCTGTTTCTAGTTGAGGCACTTGTCCATATTTCTTTATTCTTCTCTCTAAATTTCTTTTAATCTCTTTTTCTACCTCCACTTCTGGTTATTTTATACTTTGGGACTCTGTCTAACTAGAGTTCATCAACATAATTCTATCTAATTAGCTCCATCTGAGTTGGTGTGGCCCAACTAAATTGGTGATATCTGGAAAACAAGGGCACATCAAATAAATTTGATAAGAGCAAGCTACTCTATTTGAAAGCCTCCTTCCCAAATTCCAAAAGAATACATATTTTCTTGAACAGCTCGGTTGGCACTTTGCAGATGGAATAACAAGATTTTGACAACTTGAAGAAATATTCCAAGACTAGTTAACTTCTTATTCTATGATGCCTCTGACTCTGTCAGATTATTGGAATGCTGTAGTGTACCCAGAGGTTGTATGTTTTAGGTTTGGCTTTTGCTTAAGATATAGAGCAGTAAAAAATTGTTCCCTTGTTGCTTAACAAAGTAGTGTTTCAGACAATCACTTGATCAAAATGAATGCTTTCAGATAAACATCTGGGGTCTATGTGACCTTGGCACAAAAGATCAATCTATTTCTTACAGATTGCATGGTTGTTCTATTTGATAGGCAACTCATTGTTGCAATATAATATGGTCATACGATTTCATAAAAGAATGTGATATAGTCAGAGTTAATGATTCTCTTTTGTCGGTCATTACCTTTGATTCTAGTGGTAAAGGGAGGAAACAATGTCCTTTACTCTGGAACCTTGAGTGGATCTTCTAGGAATTATCATAGGGTAACGAAAAGGAAACTGTAATTTTAACTTGATATTTATTACCACAGTCTCCTGTTGGATTTGATATTTGATGGGATATGAATGAAATTTAGTTTTCTGATACCATAATTTGTTGCTTTCTAAAATGCATTTTGTCATTGGTGCTGGAAAAGTATATTGCATTTATTGATTCTGAAATTTGCTTGCAAGGTTCGAGGATTTTATTAATTCAATTGGTTCAACACACATTAGAAGGGATGTTTACCTTAAATCATCATTTTTACCAATTTAAATTTCCAAATTGTATTTTGTGTTGCCTTTTTCCGTTATTATTTCTTTTTGATATGTTTCATCTTAAATCTTTTATTTTGCAGGTGTCCTGCTTGTAGAAACTATAAGGTATATGTGCATGTTATTAGGATTGATTATATTTTAAGTTTTTACTTATGAATTTGACATTGGTTGAGTAACAATCACATAGCCTCAATATGAGAAAGTTGCCAAGCTTTTCAATGGGCCAAATGCAGTGCATCCTGGGATTATACTCATGGCACGGGTTGATTGTGCAATGAAGGTATGGTTTCTCTGATTCAAACATAGTATTTTTTATATGTCAATTATCAAGAAGATATTTCTTGCTAATATCTTGGGTAGATATATACTGCTTGTTCGTTTTTCATGTATATATTTTCTGCCTATGAGAGAAATGGGAATTAAGTAGAAATCTTAGAATAAATTGTGGAATTTGGTATAATCTATGGTACTGAGCTTGATAGACGAGGGGTCCTCTGCACCTTCCTGGGTCCTATTTTTGTCCAGCTATGTGATGATATACATTTGATCCCGCAGATCTGAACCTTGTGGACTAGTTGAGGGCAGGAACAACATTTTTCTATCTCAATTAGATCTGACTGAGTAGAAAGTTGACTGGGATGGACGATTTCTGGTGCTGACATGGTTGCCAAGATTTATATTTAATCACATGAAACTATAAAATTCTGTGGTTTATCAGAGTGGTCTATTTAAAAATTTTGTTTCTTTTAGTGAACTTCACAATATTGATAAGTGCAAATTATTGGTCTAGTTTTGCATCTTCTTTTCTAATTGGTTTATGTAATATTTGATCCATATACTTAGTAGTTAGTACCACAAAATTAATGAGTAATACTGTCATTTTCTTTGGCAGTGCAGACAAATGCAGATCTTTGTGGTAAATTTTCTGTTGGACATTATCCTATGCTATTCTGGGGCCCTCCACATAAATTTGCATTTGGTCGATGGGACCCTAAGGAAGACAAGGATGAGATACAACTGGTTGATGAGTGGAGGACAGCAGATCACCTGCTCAGTTAT